TTGCAGTGAGCCAAGATCGAACTCCAGCCTGGTGGATAGAGTGAGACTCCATCTCAAAGAAAAACAAACAAACAAAAAAATCAAAATTTTAGTCACAATCCAAATGGCTATGAACAGGAGGACGGTCAGATGCGTGATGGAGGGTGGTCAGAGGCATGATGGAGGGCGGACAGAGGCGTGATGGAGGGCGGTCAGATGCGTGATGGAGGGCGGACAGAGGCGTGATGGAGGGCGGTCAGATGCGTGATGGAGGGCGGTCAGATGCGTGATGGAGGGCGGACAGAGGCGTGATGGAGGGCGGTCAGATGCCTGATGGAGGGCGGTCAGATGCGTGATGGAGGGCGGTCAGATGCGTGATGGAGGGCGGACAGAGGCGTGATGGTTAACCCATCGTGATGGTGAACTTACGTGGTGGATGACTATGCACCCGTGAAACAGGAAGGAGCACATTCTTGATGCACAAGGAAAGGAGTCCAAGGCACGCTGCTGTGGGAAATCAACGCAAAGGGGAAGAACACCTTTGTGTAAAAAGGAGTAAAATCAGAATGTGCATCTCCCCTCGCTTATATTTTCAGAAAGAAAATCTGGAAGGATGCGCAAGGAACTAAAAATGGTCCCTGAGGGTGGGCGGAGGTGGGATGGGGGAGCTCTCCGCTCTACACATGTTCGTAAGTTTTCTATTTTGGAATGGTGTGAATTTACTACCTATTGAAGAATTTTTAAACTTTAGGCATGTGTTTGAAGGTGCATTACGATTTTTCTGGAAGAATTTACCTTGTGGGTGGCAGCTGCCCTGGGCAGTTGGGGGTGAGGGGAGAAAAGGACTTTTACTTGCTATTTTACACACTTGGAGATCATTCGGGTTGTTACTATTAGGAATTCTCAAGTACAAATGACTAATGGTAATGATTTATGTTGACATATTTCTAAATACCTAGGAAAAAGTGTTTTACCTGGGTTCCTTTGAGCCGTGGGACTGTTGGGGTCAGGGTGGAAGAAAGGGGCTTTCCTTTCATTCCTTACATGATTCTGATTTTTACAATATGTACGCTGTAAGAAAAGACAAGAAACTTGAGTTAAGGAGGTTCCCGTCATCCTCCCTCCCTGCAAAAAGGCACGTGGGTGAATTTAGGGAGATTTTCAAAGATGAGCTTTTGTAATGCATAAGATCTAGGAGCTCTAAGCTGCTGCTGGGCAGTGACTTGAAGAGGAATTCAAAAGGGAGGAAAAATGATTTATGTTTGTGGCGTTATTGGTCGGGGAGGGGGTTGTCCCCAAATTTATGTCCCTCAAAGAGGAATTAAAGAATTGAAGAGGTGAGATCTGCTTTTGGCCTTCTGTGGCTCATCAATACCTCCTGCTCAGTGAGGCAAGGCCTGTTCTCTGGAGCAGGAGGATAATTTGACGTTTTATGGTTAATGTTTCTTTGACTTTCTGATGGGTCATTGGGCATCTTCACAAGGGGACAGGGGAAAGAGCAGCCAAACTGGAGTCAGGATCTGAGACCTTGAAGAGCCCTGTCCCTACTGCAGCATGAAGCTAGGAAAGAGCTTCACCTTCTGCCAACTCCAGATTCTTCCAGAATTGCAGGGAGGAGCCAAACAAGAAACCCCTGCCATTCCAGCTAGATCTGAAATACTGTAGCTTCAACTGGAAAAGAAAAAAAGGAAGAACGACGAGTCTGGTGGTGATGGTGGTGGTGATGGTGATGGTGGTGATGGTTGTGATGGTGATGATGGTGATGGTGGTGATGGTGGTAATGATGATGGTGGTGGTGATGATGATGGTCATGGTGGTGATGGTGGTGATGATGGTGATGATGATGGTAGTGGTGATGGTGGTGATGGTGATGGTGATGGTGGTAATGATGGTGGTGGTGATGGTGGTGATGGTGATGGTAATAATGATGATGGTGGTGGTGATGGTGGTGATGGTGATGACAGTGAGGGTGGTGATGGTGCTGGTGGTGATGGTGATGGTGGTGGTGATGATGGCAGTGATGATGGTGATGGTGGTGGTGATGATGGCAGTGATGATGGTGATGGTGGTGGTGATGATGGCAGTGATGATGGTGATGGTGGTGGTGATGATGGCAGTGATGATGGTGATGGTGGTGGTGATGATGGCAGTGATGATGGTGATGGTGGTGGTGATGATGGCAGTGATGATGGTGATGGTGATGGTGGTGGTGATGATGGCAGTGATGATGGTGATGGTGATGGTGGTGGTGATGATGGCAGTGATGATGGTGATGGTGGTCATGATGATGGTTGTGACAGTGGTGTTGATGGTGATGATGGTGATGACAGTGAGCGTGGTGATGGTGCTGGTGGTGATGATGGTGATGATGGTGGTGGTGATGGTGGTGGTAATAGATGGTGGTGGTGGTAGTAGTGATTGTGATGATGGTTGTGGTGATGGTGGTGATGGTGATGGTGATGATGGTGGTGATGATAGTGATGGTGGTCATGATGATGGTTGTGACAGTGGTGGTAATGATAATGGTGGTGATGATGATGGTGACGGTGGTGATGGTGCAGGTGGTGATGATGGTGATGGTGTTCATGGTGATGGTTGTGACAGTGGTGTTGATGGTGATGATAGTGAGGGTGATGATGGTGCTGGTGGTGATGATGGTGGTGGTGATGGCTAGTATTTATTGTCAAACCCATTCATTATCTCCTTTAATCTTGCTACCTTAAATGGAAGGTCCTGTCTTAGAGATGAAGATACTAAAGGGCACAGAGGGGAAGGCAATTGCCTAAGGTCATTTGGCAGCCATGCTGAAGCTTTGGTTTACTTGATGGGCACCCTTGGCTAGGAAGGTCAACTCCAATGGGAATTCTAGTTCCATGAGTAACAGGGGTTTATTTTACACAAATTAATTTAATGAGACACTCCGGAGGGCTTGGCAATCATAATCTGGGGCTACCTGCCTTCTTCCCCAAGCCCTTCTCTCCCCACCCCTGCCTGAGGACCCTGGAGGGATGGGCACCTGGGCAAGATGTGCCGTTTGGGAAAGGCTACAGTCCCAGGTGTGACCACCAGGTGGCAGAGCAGCTGCACCAAGCCCTGCCCCTGGCAGTCCCAGAAAAACAGAAAATAGAAATGAAAAATTCCTTGGCCTGGAAGCGGAAAGTCAGTTGGAGATTCCGGGAGCCTTCTGGCAGGTCCAGGAGTTTGACCTTCTGCTGTAAGCAAAGCCTAGGGGTGTCCATGACCAGCAAAGGGCAGGGAAGAAGAAAAAACGTGAAAGCATATGGACAGAGGAAGGAGAAGGAATGGAAGTGCTTCCTGGACACCCTGGGTTCCAGCAGCCACCTCCAGCCCGGAGATTTTCAAAGCAAGGCCGAGGACCGGTGTGGCGCATTCAGCTGGGGACTTATTTTAAACGGCACACTCCAGGCCCAGCCCACCCTGCAGCAGAGGCTTGAGAAACTGCATTCCAGCCAGTACTCCCACGGCTTCTGCCACATGCTAGGGTTTGCAAACCCTGACACAGCAACACACTTCACTCCGCAGGCCAGAAACCAGTAGCCAGAGAGGGGAGGCCCCCACACTTCAGGGCCACGCTACCCCCGGCCGCACGGTGCTTGCTCAAACCAGGAGTGCGGTACAGTTCTTTGCACATAAGATTCGGCCTGTGGGTTGCTTTGCACTGGGGGGGGGTCTATCCAGTGAGCCCCCTCCCACGGCCTCCTGTGCTTTAATTTGGGTTGGTTCTCCACCTCTCCAGTCCCTCTCTTTTTGCTGTTTTAAAATTCGAATGATTTCCTGCCTGGAGAGGCTGAGGAAGGAAGGAGCCGCAGCTTTGAAGCTCGGGGCAGAATCCGACCCCCAGCTTCCAGCTGGCCTCCATCCTGGCCGAGCTCCCCAAGCCCTCGGGGAGGGTCCGGACACCCACCCACACCTCACCCCCACTTCCGGCACTCCTCAGGCTTCTCTCCGGAACTGACTCAGCCACTTCCCTCTCACACTCTGGGAGGTGACTTCGGGCTGGCCCTCATTCTGACCCAAATCCTGAATTCTAGCTTTTAGCCAGGATTTGGTCCATGACAGGCTGGAGGCCGCACCACTGCTGCCCAGGGCACTGGAGAAAGCTCAGGCCATGGTGTCTGGCTCTGATCGGGACTGTGGCACGTGACCTTGGGCAAGCTGCCTGCCCTCTCTGAGCCTCAGTTTCCTTGGTTGAGGGAACTGCACCGTTTCCTCCTGGGCTGCCGTAAGGAGGGAAGGAAGGGGTGCAGCCACGGGATAGGGCTGGCTTCACCCCACCTCGCCCGGAGCCTGAAAGCAGGGCTGGCCTCAGATGCTGGGTCACAGCGTCGTGATTCTGCTCACTTCCCCAACTGCCCACCTGCTCAGCTCCGGGCCCACAAGGGGCTTCAAAGAGATGCCAGGAAATGGTAGCCATGGTTTCCACTGGGGGAGCTTACTGTCTAATAATGGCAACCCAAAACCTCGGAATAGAAGCTTCCCGAAATAGTGAGTCTGCAAGCTGGTCTCCCCGGCACTGCCTTGTAGGAGGTTCACATCAGGAAAGAAAAGAGCACAGGCTCAGGCCCTCCTGCCAGCTTGTGCCCACCCCACGTCCTCCCCCACACCCGCCCACACCATCTCCCCAGCTAGGGAAGGCCCTTCCCAGGCCCCACATCTGGCTTCAGAGCGTTGAACAACTGTCAGGAGGGATGAAGTTTAGGCCGACAGTTTCCTGATTTAAAGGGCCTTGCGTAGAAGGTTCTAAAGATTTAAGAATGAGATCAGCTGGCCAGTGGGGAGTGGCTGAGGCCTCGTCCTGAGAGGTGAACGCCTTCCTCACTCAGAAGCCCACGCTGAGATTAAACTTCAACCAACTCAGTGAGGCATCAGCCCCGTTGATGTTTCTTCCACAACTGCAGTTCGGTAACATCAAAGCACCCTGCCTTTTTCAATGGAATCTTCCTGGCTTTCACTTTTGGTGCTAGAGAACTCAGGATGAGGCTCAGCCCTCCCTGGTCCCCACTTGGTGGGCAGCTCAGATGCCCCAGGCAGCCCGGGCACCTCGACCTTTGTCCCTGTCACCCCTCCGCAGAGCGCTGGGGCATTCGCGGCTATTCCTGGAAACAGGATAAGGAGGAGTTCCCAAGGCATCGCAGGGCTGCTTGGGACTGACTCAACAGCTGACTGGGCAGTGCCTGCCCCCAACCCCGCCGAGGGGCAGGAGGACAGAGGTCTTGGTGGCCCTGGATCCTGTGGCTGCAATCTGCTCCAAACAGCAGTTAGGTCAGCACCGCGCTCACCCCAGAGGCAGTTCCGCCCATGGCGTTCTCTGAGCTCTTAGAGCAAGCTGGCGGTGCCGGCCTCTTCCAGGCCCTGCTGCTGCTCACCTTCATCCTCCCCTGCTTCATGGTGTCCTTCCACATGCTCCTGGAGAACTTCTCAGCCGCTGTCCCAGGCCACCGATGCTGGACGCAATTGCTGGATAACGGCTCTGCGGTCCCCGCAAACATGACCCCCGAGGCCCTTCTGACCATCTCTATCCCGCTGGACCTCAACTGGGAGCCCCATCAGTGCCGCCGCTTCCGCCAGCCACAGTGGCAGCTCTTGGACCCCAACGCCACAGCCTCCAGCTGGAGCGAGGCCGACACAGAGCCATGTGTGGACGGCTGGGTCTATGACCACAGCACCTTCACCTCCACCATCGTGACAAAGGTAGGGCCTCCCCCAGAGCCACTCGAGTCTGGCACCGCGGAGGTCAGGGCCATGGATCACAGTGGGTCAGACTCAAAGGTCTCATCCTGGGAGGGACCAGTCTCCCCAGGCCCCGCTCACTCTCGAGCCTCTCAGTCCCTTGTCAGCCACACACAGGGGAGTGGGCGGCAGGGATCAGTCTACAGACCGGGCCAGCCCAGGCTCCTGGAGGTGCAGGGGGGCACCTGGGCGGGCACCTCTGAGTGCTGGCACCTGGACCCTCACCGGCCTCACCTGGTCCCGGCCTTGCTGAAGCATCAGCTGTGACTCCAGGCAAGTTTGGCCAAGGAGACTTTTGGTCACCCCACACCCACTTCCGTGATGATGGCCCAGATTCAGACTGGGGCTCCGGTTCCAGGATGAGCAGGGAGCCTTTGAGAAGCGTCCATCCCACTGGTGAATTCACTCGGTCGAGATTTAACCCCTCCTAGCAGCAGAGCCAGCCCTCGCCCTGCTCCTGCCAAGTGGCGGACACATTTCCAAATGTGTCCCAGCTGCCACAGCCTTGCCACCATCTTGTGGGGCGGGTCCTATGACTGCTGGGATTGAATCAGGCTCCAGGACACTCTAGCTGTGTGTCCTGGGACAGCCCCTTAACCCCTCTGTGTTTTTGTTTACTCTGTTATTAAGTGGGGACTGTCATAGGACCCACCCCACAAGATAGTGGCAAGGCTGTGGCAGCTGGGACACATTTGGAAATGCGTCTGCCACTTGGCAGGTGCTGCTAGGAGGGGTTAAATCTCGACCAGGCGAGTTCACCAGTGGGATGGATGCTTCTCGAAGGCTCCCTGCTCATCCTGGAACCGGAGCCCCAATCTGAATCTGGGCCATCATCACGAATCAGGAAATGGGCGTGGGGTGACCAAAAGTCTCCTTGGCCAAACTTTACTCAGGCTCCTGCGCCTTTCCTGGGCCCATATGGACATTTCCTTGCAAAATCCAGTTTTAGCAAAGGACCCTGCTGAATCAGTTTAGCAAGAACCCCCTCCTCCCCCAGCCTTGATATCCCAACAGGTTCCTCATTCTCCGTTACCTGGTGATGCCAGGTCACCCTGGCCTGTCTCAGCAAGAAACCTGTTGGGTCAGTTCAGCCAGACCCCCCTCACTCCTGATTTCCCCCCGAGGCTGAATTGCCTGGAGTCACGGCTGATGCATCAGTAGGGCCGGGACCAGGCGAGGCTGGAGGGTGTCCAGAGGCCAGCTTTCAGAGGTGCCCGCCCAGGTGCCCCCCTCACTTGCAGGAGCCTGGGCTGGCCCCGTCCGTGAACTAATCCCTGCTGCCTACTCCCCTTTGTCCCCATCAGTGAGCATGAGGGACAAAAGCAAGGTTGCAAGGGGTGAGAAGGGGCCGCCTCCTTCAGGCAGCCTCTTTCCAAAGAGGCTACATTGACAATGAGACTTGGATGGCAAGAGCAGGAATCTGCGAAGGCCAGGAGCCCCACAGAGCAAAGGTCGTGCAGAGAAGCGTGTCTGGGATTTGAAGGAGCAGAACGAGGCCCAGTGTAGCTGGGCACAGGTGCTGAGGGGCAGAAGCGGGTGTGGGAGCGTGCTTTGGAGCTGCGATTTTCTTTTTCTTTTTTCTGAAACAGTCTCGCTCTGTCACCCGGGCTGGAGTTCAGTGGTGAAATACGACTGACTGCATCTCTCACTTCTCAGCTCAAATGATCCTCCTGGCTCAGCCTCCCCAGTAGCTGGGACTATAGGCACACACCACCATGCCCAGCTAATTTTTTTGTTTTTTGAGACTGAGTCTTGCTCTGTCTCCCAGGATGGAGTGCAATGGCACGATCACAGCTCACTGCAACCTCTGCCTCCTGGGTTCAAGCAATTCTCTGGCCTCAGCCTCCCAAATAGCTGGGGCTACAGGGGTGCACCACCATGCCCAGCTAATTTTTGTATTTTTAGTAGAGAAGGGGTTTCATCATGTTGGTCAGGCTGGTCTCGAACTCCTGATCTCCGGTGATCCACCCACCTCGGCCTCCCAAAATGCTGGGATTACAGGTGTGATCCACTGCGCCTGGGATTTTCTTTTAAATGCAAAAGAACCTCATCCTCATCATCCTCATTGGAGGGTTTGGAGCACGGAAGTGATTTGGTCTGACTTGCATTTTCAAGAGGTCACTTTGCAGGGTAGAGAAGCTCTGTGGGAGGATGGGCCCCACCACTGGAGGCTACTGTAGTTGCCTGGGTGGGAGGGGGAAAGAGAGAGGTGGGGGGAGCTGTTGGGCCTCAGTGGAAGATGGACTTGGGGGTAGGTGTGGGGTGTTCAGGCAATGGGTGACCAGTCCTGGGATGTGATTGCTCACGCCTGTAATCCCAGCACTTTGGGAGGCTGAGGCAGGCGGATCACGAGGTCCGGAGTTCAAGACCAACCTGGCCAAAATGGTGAAACCCCATCTCTACTAAAAATACAAAAATTAGCTGGGTGTGGTGGTGCACACCTGTAGCCAGTTACTTGGGAGGCTGAGGCAGGAGAATTGCTTGAACCCGGGAGCAGAAGTTGCTGCAAGCCAAGATCGAGCCACTGCACTCCAGCCTGGGTGACAGAGAGAGACTCCATCTCAAAAAAAAAAAAAAAAAAAAAAAACAGTGAACGGTGCCAAGCTGTCTCCAGCCAACCTCACTGCCGAGAGGGCCAGCTCATGGCCCCACCTCTAGAGAAGAGGATAGCCCAGCTGGGGCAGTGGCTCCCTGACGTCCACCAGGCCAGCTCTTAGCAAAGGCGGAAGCCAAGCCTGTGGACTCACCCCTGCCAGCTGATGCCTGCCCCTGCCCACCTTGCCTGCCCCCCCACTGCCACCACTGCCAGATACTGCCAGACACAGCTGCCAAACTTCTTTTTACCAATAAATTGTTCATTTTCCTGCCACTTCTGCCCCTTCAAGGCCCTGGGGCCCATTAGAGTCCGCCTTCTGCATGACTTCATGGCTGGACCCATAGTGTGGCCTCCACAAAGCTGCCAGACGCAGAGCCTGGTCGCATTCTGTCCTGCAGCTGGGCTTCCCAGGGGGGCGTTGCAGCCCCGTGGCCAGCAGGCCCCTTCTACCTCTGTGACCTGGCAGTGGGAGTCCAGGGTGGCCGGCATGCATGGCTGGCCCCTCAGCCGCACCCAGCCCTGTGATTCCACGCCCCGAGCTGAGCCGCTGCCTCCTCCTCTTGCAGTGGGACCTGGTGTGTGGCTCGCAGGGCCTGAAGCCTCTGAGCCAGTCCATCTTCATGTCTGGAATCTTGGTGGGCTCCTTCATCTGGGGGCTCCTCTCCCACCGGTGAGTGCCTCCCCTCCTCCCAGCCCCCAACTCTCTCAAAACAGAGTGGAAGACTGGGGGGCAGAAGGTTCAGAAGTGTCAGACCAACACCCCATCCCCGCCTCCACCTCCCTCCTGCCGCCTCTGTTTCTTCCCTCCTCTGGCCATCCCCAAAACCCACAGGCTGTTCTGGGTCCCCACCTTAACAAGGCTCTCCAGACCCTGGCTTTGTTCCCCTCACAGGGAGGCCACCCCGCTGCCCCTCTCTCTTCCACACTCCGGCCAGATGGTTACAGGCCTCCTTCATGTGGCTATATCGGACCCTGTGCTACAGAGCCGTCCTGGCTCCCCATCTTTTGATTCTGTCCTTTGTCCCCAGGTCTCAAGGCCTTCCCAGAAGCCTCATGTGGGCCAAACACTGGATAGAGATGCCTCTGTCAAAGATGGGGGACGGGGCATAGGAAGGGTGGGGACATGTTCCTGCTCGCCCCCAGCTTGGAGCCAAGTGGGGCTCAGGATACAGGTCACCTCAGAACATGAGGCTGGGGCTGGCTAGGGGAACAGGGCACAGGTGATGGGCATACCAGGGCTGGCCGGCAGGACTGGAAATGTCTCACACCAGGCGACACTGAAGTTCAGGGCTGCTGGCGGGAAGAAGCGTCTCTTTGACATACTTTCTTCTCTTGGCTTCCAGAACATCCTCACTCCTGGTTTTCTTTCCACCTCCCAGGAAGCTGTTCCCACTTCCCCTCCTCCTACTCCCCCTCCTCCTACCCCCCTCCTCCCGCTGCCCCTTCTCCTGCTCCCCCGCCTCCCGCTGCCCCTTCTCCTGCTCCCCCTCCTCCCGCTGCCCCTTCTCCTGCTCCCCCTCCTCCCGCTGCCCCTCCTCTTCTTCCTGTTCTGAAAGCTGAGCTGCTGATTCCTCGCCACCCGCCACTCCCCCAGCAGCCGCCTGCCCCGCGGACCCTGCTGCACCTGCGCTGTCCCCTGACCCCTTCCCTCACCCCACACTCAGCCCAGGCCCTTCTCCATCACAGCATCCCGTTGCCGGAGCCCCCGTCTCCTCTCACCAGGCGGGCTTCAGCCTCTCGCGGGTGTCCTCTGCAGTGGCCGTCCACGCTGCCACAGCACTAGTGACTTTGCAAAATCTTGGAGGTTGATCCGGTCGATAAAACCTGGCTTGAAGTCCTCCGAGAGCCCCACTGCACTGAGGACAGTCCCTTCCTGCCCACCTCCTGCCCTGCGCTGGACTTCCCCTAACCCCCAGCTCCACCAGCCTCCTCCTGGAGCCCCTCACCCAGCTACAGAGTGCCTCAGTGACTGCACTTCACCCAGAACCTCCTGCCCACGCTGCCTGGTGCCCACACTCAGGCTGCAGCTCAATGCATTTCCTCGGGGAGGCCTTCCCAGCCAGAGACTCCCGCCTGCCCCAGACATGACTGTCCCACCCCGCCTTGCTCCCTCATCACAGTGCCTGGCTCTGACCATGCCCAGCTGGCTCAAGGCTTGCTGATTGTCCACGTCCCCACGGACATACAGGGACCCGGGGACTGTGCCCCAGAGCCCACCTCCGCACCGTGGCAGACACACAGTCATTATTTCTCGAACAGAGGACTGCCTTCCCACTCCCTCCTGCCTCCACCCTCCCGGCAGCAGCGCTGGGGTCTGACTACCTGAGTCTGAATCCCAGCCTTACCATTCCCAGCCTTGTCTTAGAAGGTGGATCTCTTCCCTTCTCTGAGCCTCAGTTTCCCCCAGCAGTGGGGACTCACCATGCAATTGTCATGAGGATGACGCAAGTGTCCTTGCTTCTGGGTGCTGCTCAGACAGGTGCGGCCAAGGTCCGCCTCCCATCTCTGTTCTGATCAGCACCGGCTTGAGTGGAGCTAAACAGGGTCTGCAGTTCAGGCTCAGCCGGCCTGGAGGTCACGGTGGCCCCGGGCACTAAGGCAGGGCGGAGGGCTCTGCTCCCCAAGAGCTCCCCTTCACAGCACACAGTGGGGAGCAGCAGCTGGCCAGGTCTCAGCCTCCCCACTCCCTGGCCCTTTCCCAGTGTCTTGATTCTCATATCAGCCCTGTGAGGCATGTCCTTATGAATGCCCTTGTGTGACAGATGGGGAAACTGAGGCTCAGAGATGTCGAGTCACACGCCCAGGGTCACCCAGTAAGGGCAGGAAGTGCCTTTTTATGTATTTATTAGAGACAGAGTCTCATTCTGTTGTCCAATGATCATACCTCACTGCAGCCCCGCGCTCCTGGGCTCAAGCCATCTTCCCCCTCAGCCTCCCAAGTAGCTGGGACCGCAGACGCCTGGCTATTTATTTATTTTGTAGAGACTAAGGTCTCACTATGTTGCACAGGCTGGTCTTGAACTCCTGGCCTCAAGTGATCCTCCAGCCTCAGACTCCCAAAGTGCTGGGATTATAGGCATGAGCTACTGTGCCTGGCCCCAAATCCCTTTCTTAAACATGAGGCTAAACTGCCCCCTCCTGTGGCAGGGTACCTGCCACCTTTATAACAAAAGCACTCTGAGTGTGCCCCTAAACCTTCCAAGAAGGAGGAGCTGCCTGCAGGAGATCCCCCAGCTTCATTGAACTCCCAGAAGGCAGGCACCTGCCCACATACCCAGCTCCTCAGGGGCCCCTCTCCAGCCCTACACGCTTCTTTCCTGTGACAGGCTTGGGCGGAAGCCGATGCTGAGCTGGTCCTGCCTGCAGATGGCTGTGGCGGGCATCGGCACCACCTTCGCCCCGACACTCCTTGTCTACTGCGGCCTGCGGTTCGTGACCGCTTTTGGGATTGCCGGCATCTTCCTGAGTGCACTGGTACTGAGTGAGTCCCCGGCTCAGCGTACTCCTGCTGTGGGGGTGGGAGGGGAGGGAGAGAATGGGGCGCGGGCCGCCCAGGAGGCCTCAACTGCACGTGTCTGCATCCTTCAGTGGTGGAGTGGACTACGACCAGCAGGAGGGCGGTCACCCTGACCGTGTTGGCATGCTCCTTCAGCGCAGGCCAGGCAGCCCTGGGTGGCGTGGCCTTCGCCCTGCGGGACTGGCAGACCCTCCAGCTGGCAGTATCAGTGCCCTTCTTTGTCATCTTCCTGATATCCTGGTCAGTACAATGTGGGACCTTTCTTTAGGAGACCCAGGGTGTGTGGGGGGGTCCCCTCACTTTCACCTCCCTGGCTGGTGGTAGGTTCAGAGCTGTGGAGGGCCACAGAAGGGCAATGGCATGAGCGGGGCCCTCACTGGGGAGAGACACGAAATTCACAGTTCTAGGCTGAAAAATGTCCATGGCTCCCATCCAGCCCAGACAGGCGATGATGGGCCGGCACAGCATTGGCTCAAATGGTGATTTTAAAAATATATTTGTGCTGGGCGCAGTGGCTCACGCCTGTAATCCCAGCACTTTGGGAGGCTGAGGTGGGTGGATCACCTGAGGCTGGGCATTTGAGATCAGACTGAGCAGCATGGAAAAACCCCATCTCTACTAAAAATAGAAAATCAGCTGGATGTGGTGGTGCGTGCCTGTAGTCCCAGCTACTCGGGAGGCTGAGGCAGGAGAATCGCTCGAAGCTGGGAGGCAGAGGTTGCAGCGAGCTGAGATCCTGCCATTGCACTCCAGACTGGGCAACAAGAGCAAAACTCCATCTCAAAAAAAAAAATTACACACACACACACACACACACACACACATAACTAGTTGCTAACATTTAAGAATCAGAAGATTTTTTTTAAAACAAAAGCAATATTTTTACCTTCTTTGGAAAAACTGGAAGATGTGGGGGCACTGGGTGGGACTTTGGCCACAGTGGAAGCACCGCTCTCGCAGTCCCCCAGGTCCCACCGCCGCCTCCCCTGCGCTGAGGCTGTGGGCATCATCCTTCCCCAGTGCTTGCACCAGCCCCCACCCAGCAGCTCCACTCCTTACATACAGTGGGGACCAACGTTGGATATTAAAATAGATCGTTGCCATTATAATTTTAGGGGCTGCAAAAACCCCAGGTCTGGAAAGCCCTCCTTGGGTTGACTGAGGAAGGAGACACAGACAGGCGCAGAGGATCCTAGGTGCTGGAGACACACAAGTGAGCAAAACAGACAAAAGCCACTGACCCCACGCAGCTGAGGTTCCACAAACAGACCAATTCGTGAGGAGGAAGGCCATCACGTGGTTACAGTTAGGCCTGCCCCACCTCACCGATCAGGAGCGCACCAGGCGCAGTCCATCACACCATGTGCGCATTAACACATCTTCTAATGAGGAAGATGATGTCACTACTGCCCTGTTCAAAGGAAGGACTGAGGCCCAGAGAGGTGACGTCACGCACCCAAAGTCACCCACAGCCGGTGAATGCCAGAGGCAGGATTTGAATCCAGGCAGGCTGACTCTTCACCACTATGGCAAACTGCCTCTAGAAGTCCTCCTTAGCTTCCCTGCAAACAGGGCTGAGAGCCAGTGGGCGGGGTAGCTCCTGCGCCTTCCACCAGGAAAATGCTTCTCCTGGCCCATCTGCCCCTGAGATTAGGGAGAAGCAGACTGGTTTTATAAAATCACCTGGTCCTGCCTGAGGATGTTTAAACATGCTTTTTAAAAAAGAAAAAAAAAAAAAAAACAACAGGCTGGGCACAATGGCTCATGCCAGTAATCCCAGCACTTTGGGAGGCCGAGGTGGGCAGATCATGAAGTCAGAAGATCGAGACCATCCTGGCTAACATGATGAAACCCCATCTTTATTAAAAAGACAAAAAATTAGCCAGGCATGGTGGCACGTGCCCATAGTCCCAGTTACTCAAGAGGCTGAATCAGGAGAATCGCTTGAACCCAGGAGGCGGAGGTTGCAGTGAGCTGAGATCATGGGACTGCACTCCAGCCTGGGTGACAGAGCAAGGTTCTGTCTCAAAAAAAAAAAACAGCACCAAGTGAACTTTCTATCATAGAAATGGACCCAGAATCACTGGTGAAGCTGCTAGCTCTAGGGCCGCCTGTGCCCTGGCTGTGTGCAGGGCTCAGGTAGGCAGGCTCCTGGCAGCCAGTGGAGCCAGATGAAGGTGGCTCACTTGGGAAGGTGGGTGGCCAGGCATTGGGACTCAGCTTTCTTCTGAAACCTTCGGGGACTGCCAGGCTCCTGGCTGGGCAGCAGTGGTACAGAAGCATCTGCCTCATCACTCATCTCAGCTGGAGGATCTGTACCACTGCCCCTTTCCGCCCCACCCCGGGGAGAGCCCAGTGTGTACTTCCAACTATACACCTTCCTCATTACAGGTGGCTGCCCGAATCCGCCCGGTGGCTGATTATTAAGCACAAACCAGACAAAGCACTTCAGGAACTCAGAAAAGTGGCCAGGATAAATGGCCACAAGGAATCCAAGAACCTGACCATAGAGGTGAGATGCTGCTGTTTGCAAGACTTGACCTGGGACAGGAATTATCCAATGATGGATAATCCACGTGGCCTCTAACATCAGCACCACCCACTCCAGTACCACCCCCACTCCACAGCCACAAGCACCACCCCCAGCATCTCCACAGACGCCACCAACACACCATCACCACTTCCACGCCTCCATCACCTTCACTAAACCTTCATTGGTGATGGTATCAGCAATGCCGATACCATCACTAACAGCACCACCACTGTCCACCACCAACACCCCATCACCACCTCCACACTCCACCACCTTCACCACCATCACCCCATCACCACCTCCACACTCCACCACCTTCACCACCATCACCCCATCACCACCTCCACACTCCATCACCTTCACCACCAACACCCCATCACCACCTCCACCACCTTCACCACCAACATCCCATCACCACCTCCACACTCCACCACCTTCACCACCATCACCCCATCACCACCTCCACACTCCACCACCTTCACCACCATCACCCCATCACCACCTCCACACCTCCACCACCTTCACCACCATCACCCCATCACCACCTCCACACTCCATCACCTTCACCACCATCACCCCATCACCACCTCCACACCTCCACCACCTTCACCACCATCACCCCATCACCACCTCCACACTCCTTCACCTTCACCACCAACACCCCATCACCTTCACCACCAACACCCCATCACCACCTCCACACTCCATCACCTTCACCACCAACACCCCATCACCACCTCCACACTCCTTCACCTTCACCACCAACACCCCATCACCACCTCCACACTCCATCACCTTCACCACCAACACCCCATCACCACCTCCACACTCTACCACCTTCACCACCATCATCCCATCACCACCTCCACACTCCACCACCTTCACCACCATCACCCCATCACCACCTCCACACTCCACCACCTTCACCACCATCACCCCATCACCACCTCCACACTCCACCACCTTCACCACCATCACCCCATCACCACCTCCACACTCCACCACCTTCACCACCATCACCCCATCACCACCTCCACACTCCATCACCTTCACCACCATCACCCCATCACCACCTCCACACTCCACCACCTTCACCACCATCACCCCATCACCACCTCCACACTCCACCACCTTCACCACCAACACCCCATCACCACCTCCACACTCCATCACCTTCACCACCAACACCCCATCACCACCTCCACACTCCACCACCTTCACCACCATCACCCCATCACCACCTCCACACTCCACCACCTTCACCACCAACACCCCATCACCACCTCCACACTCCTTCACCTTCACCACCAACACCCCATCACCACCTCCACACTCCATCACCTTCACCACCAACACCCCATCACCACCTCCACACTCTACCACCTTCACCACCATCATCCCATCACCACCTCCACACTCCACCACCTTCACCACCATCACCCCATCACCACCTCCACACTCCACCACCTTCACCACCATCACCCCATCACCACCTCCACACTCCACCACCTTCACCACCATCACCCCATCACCACCTCCACACTCCACCACCTTCACCACCATCACCCCATCACCACCTCCACACTCCATCACCTTCACCACCATCACCCCATCACCACCTCCACACTCCACCACCTTCACCACCATCACCCCATCACCACCTCCACACTCCACCACCTTCACCACCAACACCCCATCACCACCTCCACACTCCACCACCTTCACCACCAACACCCCATCACCACCTCCACACTCCACCACCTTCACCACCATCACCCCATCACCACCTCCACACTGCACCACCTTCACCACCAACACCCCATCACCACCTCCACACTCCACCACCTTCACCACCAACACCCCATCACCACCTCCACACTCCACCACCTTCACCACCAACACCCCATCACCACCTCCACACTCCATCACCTTCACCACCAACACCCCATCACCACCTCCACACTCCACCACCTTCACCACCATCACCCCATCACCACCTCCACACTCCATCACCTTCACCACCAACACCCCATCACCACCTCCACACTCCATCACCTTCACCACCAACACCCCATCACCACCTCCACACTCCACCACCTTCACCACCAACATCCCATCACCACCTCCACACTCCACCACCTTCACCACCAACACCCCATCACCACCTCCACACTCCATCACCTTCACCACCATCACCCCATCACCACCTCCACACTCCATCACCACCAGCAATGCCGATACCATCCCCAACAGCACCACCACCGTCCACACCCCCACCACCTTCACCACCATCACCCCATCACCACCATCACTAACCCCACAGCCACCATCTATGCAGAACATCTCCACCCCCTTCACCACCATTGCCACCATCAGTCACAGCACCATCATTACCAACAGTGCCCACACTGACACCTCCATCACCCACCACCTCCACCCATGCAGAGCACACACCCACCTCATGGGGCTTCTCTGTGTGTCTTGGGAAACAGAATGCTTATTTGAAGGTAGCAGTTTTGAGGAAGCAGGATCTGCCAGAGATTAGAGTGAAGATGGGGCAGGAGGATCAGGCAAGGCTTCCAGAAGGAGGCAAGCTAGAGCTGAGAAGCCAGAGCCGGGCTAAACCTGCAGAAGAGCCGGGACCTGGAGAGAACATTTTCTGCCCTCTTCCAGCCGCGTCCCCTGGGGATCCGGCTTCCGAGGCCCAGGACAGGCTCCCTTGTCACTCTGGACACTTGGCCACTGTTCTCTGGCATGGGGGTGGGGCGGGGCCACTGCCCTACCATTCACGGTGCCCCCATTCTCCCCGGAAGGTGCTGATGTCCAGCATGGAGGAGGAGGTGGCCTCTGCCAAGGAGCCACAGTCAGGGCTGGACTTGTTCTGCGTGCCCGTGCTCCGCAGGAGGAGCTGCCCCGCACTGGTGACGAGGTACACCGTCCTGGCAGCCCTTCCCGAGGCAGGGCTGGGACAGGCAGGAGGCGGGGTGTCTGGGTAAACCAGCACCTGCAGACCTCGCCGGGTGCATTTCTAGCTGGACAGGATGCAGGCAGCCTCAGGAGGCAGGAGTCCTGGCCGCGGCAGTGAAGGATAATGCACAGGGAGGAGGGACTGAGGGGGTGGGTCTAGAGGCTGCCATTTGCAGGAAGCCGGAGGGCAAGGCGGGTCTAGGCTGGGGGTCGCAGGGTCCCAGGGAGGTCCCAAGACAGAGGCAGAGCGAGGGTACCGAGAGCCAGGGGACCAGCCATGTCCAGGGAGGACCACTGTTGGTCAGCGCTAGAGACGTAGCCCTTTCCTAGAGAGTAGGCTCATGCTCCTAGAGGGTGAACGGCATTCGCTGACCCCTTGATGCAACCCCATATCACAGATGGGGAAAGTGGAGCCCACAGGGGTAACGTACAAGCCCAAGATGACTGAGCCAGCATTGGAACTGGGCCGAGCTAGCACATGGCCCACTGGCGCTGTCCCCTCCCAGGTCCCACATGACTAGACCCTGACCCACCCTGGGACCCAAGATCATCTGGGCCCCAGAAAACGCCCTTAAAACAAATTGGTGGTGAAGGTGATGGAGGTGTGGACGGTGGTGATGGGGTGTTGGTGGTGAAGGTGACATCCAAAAGAGCATATTAAAAAGCAAGGACCAGTCAAAAGCATTTGGCTCATGCCTGGAATCCCAGCACTTTGGGAGGCTGAGGCAGGAGGATCGTTTGAGCCCAGGAGTTCAAGACCAGCCTGGCTAACATAGTGAGATCCTCTCATCTTTACTAAAAATCAAAAAATCAAGGCAGGAGAATCACTGGAGCCCAGGAGATAGAGGCTGCACTGAGCTGAGATTGCGCCACCGCACTCCAGCCTGGGTGACAGAGCAAGACCCTGTCAAAAAAAAAAAAAAAAAAAAAAAAACACCTAAGGTAAGGACCAGGTTTGATTGGGACTTTTATCTTGAAATAAAACTAAAGTGGAAGAAAACGTATATTTTATGCTATATTCAACTACATATGGGTTATGATGGCAACTATTTGCTACATTTTAGAATAAAGATAGATCATGCCTTTTTTTTTTTTAACTTCAATTTTTTTCTGATAGATCAGAAGCAGTGCCCTCCCTGCAAACACCCGGGGCCAGTTCTTTAAAAAAAAAACAAAAACCTTCCAGGATTCCTCAGTTCTCCCTGGGGCCAGCTCTGCAAGCTTTCCTATTCAAATCAGAGGCTTGGAAGCAGGTGACCTTGTGGGTCTTCTTGCCTTGACTCGTTACCCATCGCTGCCCCTTTATCTGTCGGCCGCTTTGAGCACCAGCCCAGTGACGCTCACGTCACTCGCATAAACTTCATCGGACACTGCGGCTTGTGCGTGAACTGCGATTTTACTCTGCGGTTTTGGGGCTGGTGCTGTCCAATGTTTATTGGATGATACGATGAGGAGACGCCTAAGGGCCGGCTGGGAGGCGGGTCTGAGCTGAGCTGGGAGGGGCACAGACTTTAAACGCGGCTGAGAATTTCACCTTGCAGCCGCTTGTGGGTCCAAATCCCATCTCCAAACCTGGGGAATTTAAATATTGTAAATTCAGCTACTCGGAGGGCGGGGGAGTGGGCATGATTGTCATCTTCCAAGACAAAGGAGCTGGGATAGTTATCGGAATCAAAGCCAGAGAGGGCTAAGTCAGAAAGAAGTCAGGGGCAGCTCAGAGACCCTGAGACGGAGAAGGGGACAGGAGATGCAGCCGCAGCCCGGACCCAGCCTGGACCCGGGGGCTTGGGAGCTGGGGCCCTTCTGGGTGGTCCCTCTGGCCCACAGGAACCAGTCACAGGCTGCTTTCCCCAGAGGAGGGGCAGCACTCCCAGGGGCTGGGGGACAGGCTCTCCATCCTGAATTTGGTCTGGACAGTGCAGCCCAGGGTCTCCTGAAAGACCCCGTCCTGTCATGATTCCCATCTTCCAAGACAAAGGAACAGGAACAGTGTGACTGGTTATCAGAATCAAAGCCGGAGATTGATAGGCCAGAAGTGAGGGGCAGCTCAGGGACCCCAGAGCTTGGTCCCAGACTGGGGAGGGCCGAGTCTTCCAGTCAGGAGCCAGAGAGGCAACGCCCCAGCCCAGCACTGCCCCTGACCCAAAGCCCACGTGTGAAGGGATGGGGGCGTCACCCTCCCTGCCCTTTCCTGGAAGAGCCTGACTCTGGGGTTGCGTCCTGAGTTCGGCAGGCTTCTGGGACCTGACTTCCAGCCTTGCCCGCAGCTTCTCTCTACTGATCTCCTTCTACGGGCTGATCTTCGACCTGCAGAGCCTGGGCCGTGACATCTTCCTCCTCCAGGTCCTCTTCGGGGCTGTGGACATCCTGGGCCGGGCCACCACTGTCCTCTTGCTCAGTTTCCTTGGCCGTCGCACCATCCTGGCGGGCTTCCAGCTCATGGCTGGCCTCTCCATCCTGGCCAACACGCTGGTGCCGCCAGGTGAGGTGGGTGGGCTGGGGGGTGGGGACCGGGCCCTGCTTCCCCTACCCCGGCCCAGCCCCAGGAGCGGCCTCTCTGTTTTCTTTCTGAATGAGAGAGGCTGTGAGAACCTGGAATCCCTCTCCGTGTCTCCTTGTATTGCTCAGGGTGGGAAACTAGGGGACAGGGACAGGGCCGCATGTCCCCCGGTGGTAGCAGAGCCAGGAGGAAGGCAGGAGGGTGCCTCGCCACTGGCTGGGGAAGGCACGTGAGTGAGGACAGAGGTGGCCAGGGCCCTGCGGGCAGCAGCCTACGCTCTGAGCATGAGCAGCTAGGGGGACTCGAACGAGGGCAAGCCCTCCCAACAGTGCAGGAGCCACCTCGGAACCACATGTGGGGAGGCTGGGCCTGCGGCCAGAAAGTGGCCCAGATCTCTGCCTCCTGGCCAGAGCTTCTGCCATCCCCACCAGGCAGTCTAGGGGGCAGCAGGGAGGCTGCTGTGGGCTGGCTCCAGAGCACTCTCTTCCACAGCAAGAAGCACCCTGGGAACCTAGGAGCCACAGGAGGCCCAGACCTGGCTGGTTTCTGCCTGGGCCCCTCGGGTCACCTCCACAACATCACTTCCTATGATTCGTCCCCCAACCCTGGCCCTGGCAGCCCCGCACCAAGCCAGCAGGGCCAGGGACGTTGTAGGGAGCCTAGGGGCCCCTCTGCCCCAGGGTGGCTGCCCGCACGCGGACTAGCCCCTGGGGACCCTCTGGGGCCAACCCCACTCTCACTCTCTTCCTGCACCCAGATCTGCAGGTGCTGCGTGTGGTCTTGGCTGTGCTGGGAAAGGGATGTTTTGGGATAAGTCTAACCTGCCTCTCCATCTACAGGGCTGAACTCTTCCCAACCACGGTTCGGTAAGCTGGGCTGCAGGCCACGCCCCAGGGGCAGCAGGGTCGTCCTGGGAGGGCAGTGGGGAGGGCAGAGAAGAGCCTGGCAGCCAGGGAATGGGCCTCCCAGGCAGCTCCTCCCCACGACCGCGAGGGTCTGGGCCCACCGGCAGCAGCACGGCAGAGCCCTGGGTCTGTGTTTTCGCACCGTTGTGAGCCACAGGACCATCCCTCCAGGTGGAATCTTATAAGAACTCAGATAAGGAGACCAAGAGCTGCCCTGGTGGCAGTGGTGACCCTCAGCTCACCTCCTGCCATGTCTTTCCTGCCCCCAGAGAGCCCCAAGTCACCTCCTTAGAACCCAAGGGCATCACAAAACACAAATGGAAACCAGCGGTCTAGAGTCTAGGCCACTCCCACGTTTGATATTTGGGTAAACTGAGGCTCGGGGTGAAGGACTGGCTTAGCAGAGGGGGAGGACTGACTGCAGCTCTCCAGACTTTCAGCCCACTGTTCCTTCCACCACTCATTCACTCATTTCTCCATTTTAAAATTTGTTGTTTGGACAAACATGTCTTGATTTTGTTGATATCATATGGAAAGCCTGAACAGGGAGCTCAGTGGCCTACCGGGAGCATGGAGAAGCCCTTAAGGTACCCAAGAGCAGGAAAAATGAGGTAGGCCCTGGAGATTTCCCCTGAAATACTAGATGGGAAAATCTGGGTGGGCTCCATGGAAGAGGTGACATTAGAGAAGGCCTTGAGGAGGGCAATTCCTCAGCCCAGCTTTCCTTCTCCTGGCATCCATGGGCCCAGCCAACCTGTCTTCCTGCCACAGGGGCAGCTGTAACAGGGATCTGTGCCCTCCCCTTCACCCACAGGATGACAGCAGATGGCCTTATGCAGGTGGTGGGCCGGCTGGGAAGTATGATAGGTCCCCTGATTCTGATGAGCCGACAAGCCATACCGCTACTGCCTCCTCTTGTCTACGGCGTTATCTCCATTGCTTCCAGCCTGGTTGTGCTGTTCTTCCTCCCGGAGACCCGGGGACTTCCGCTCCCTGACACTGTCCAGGACCTGGAGAGCCAGTGAGTGACCTGTGACCCTGGGCATTGGGTCGGGCCTCTTCCTGGGCCAGGATGGAGACAGGCCAGGGCCACCCAGGGCAGAGGCTCAAGGGTGTCAAGGCCTGTGTTTCTGAAACCATTCAATCTTTCCAACAATCCTGCCAGAAAGGTGCTATCACTATCCCCGTACTATTACTAGGGTCAGAGAGAGAAAGGGACTGATCCAAAATCTCATGCATAGAAAGTGATCATACCTCATGCAGGAAACGTAATTATTGAAAGCCCAGGCTCGGCAGCCAGGTTGCCTGGGTTCCCCACCTGCCTGGGCAAGTGACTTAACCTCTCTCTCCAAAACTGACAAAGGAAGATACAGATAGTCTCAACTGTCCTAGTGAAATTTTCCCACAAAGAATTTCAGTCCCAGACAGATCAACAGGTGAGTTCTTTCAAGCCCTCGGAGAACAGATTGTGCCATCTCACATCCATTCTTTGAGAGGGAGAAACGAGGGAACACTCCCTAGCTGCATTTTATAGCGAGAACCACTTCTGTGGGCTTTAGCCTCCTCCTTTGTAAAACGGATGTTAAAAAACAACACAACAACAAAAAAACACTACAAAACCCAGCTGGCCCAAGAGTTGTTTTCAGGTTTAAGGGAATTACTATTTTAAAGCACCTGGGAAAATGCCAGGCCTGCAGCAGGCGCTCCGGGCGTGTGGTTGTTGTGTCCTGGGTGAGTGTTCATGGGACCTCCTCAATTCCGATGGGAACAGAGGTCACAATGATAGGAACAATAATATCGAGCTCTGACTGTTTTATGTCATTTGTTTAATCAATGCAACAACCACACAAGGTGGTATTACTGTCCAGTTTCTTTGCCAAGGAAGCTGAGATGCAGAGGGTTTTATAACTTGCCTAAGGACACCTGGGGAGGCCTGGAGACACTAGGACTTCGTTTTTTCTGACTTCATTGATTTTTGTTGTGTACTGTCCCACGCTCGGGTACACAGAAGGGAGTAAAAATCTAATGTCATAGAGTTTATCCCCTGATAAGACTGGACCCCCGCTCTGCCCCAAGCCCCGAGTGCATACCTGCTTCACCACATGGCACTGCTTTTCTTTGGATTATTCTAGGAAATCAACAGCAGCCCAGGGCAACCAGCAAGAGGCCGTCACTGTGGAAAGTACCTGGTTCTAGAAATTCTGCCTGCACGGAGCCCCTTTAGTCAAAGACTCTTGAGCAAGGAGTTGCCTCTTCTCCAATCAGAGGGTGGAGGCAAGTTGGGCGACTCCAAGGGCCTGGCATGGCAGAGACCAGGCAGCTGTGGCCGTCTGCTGTGGCTGGAGGCAGCTTCCATTGCTCACTCCTCTTCTCCCTGCCCTGATCAGATTCCCCACCTTACCCCAGCCCTACAGGAGCCTGTGCAGGTGGCCGTGCCTGCCCAATAACAAGACGGGTCCCCGCCCTTTCCCTGCCAGGCTCATGTCTTTATACCCTCACTCAGCCATGCCAGCTGGAGTCTGGGTTCCAATCTCACCCCATCATATACAGAGCCCTCGTCTGTGAAATGGGAATGATCACAGGACCCGTCCCCCAAGACAGGTATCAGGGTGAACTGATCTTAGCACTGACCAAATAAATGGAACCTGCTGAGAGAGCCGCCAGATACAGGTGTCCAGGTTGCGTACTGCCCCAAGGCATGCAGCCAAGGAGGTGTGTGGGGTCTGGAACTTAGCCCCAGCTACAATGGCCCCGCCACCTACCCTAGCAAAGGCTATGTCCACTCCAAGAAAGGAGCTGTTTTAATCATTTTCTATTTACCATCAGTGATGGAGGGCTTCTAGCCCTACGGTTATGAGGATGGCCAAATACACCACCAAACACCAGCCAGAGGAGACGCAGCAGGTTACCACACACGTGTGCTCGGAGCCCGGGAAGATAGCACTGCACGCCACACAGGGCCTCATGGGGTGGGGGGTGCGCTGAGGATCCAAATGAACAGCCAGGGCTATAGGAAGCCGGCTTTGGAGCACGGAGAGGGTGGGGCGACTCCCATGGGAGGGTGTGGTTGGCTTGTTTCATTTTGCTGCAGGCTGGAGAGAAACGGAACCTTACAGGCAGGATAAGAGGAACCACACTTGGCCCCCTGGATGAGGGTTGCTTGGCCAGGGAGCCTCTTCCACAGCGGCGGAGTGAAAGGGGAGAGGGGAGCACACAAGCAGGTCCTCTGGGCCTTCCGGCTTTGCCAGGTGTCAAGGCAGCACGTAATACTGAACCTTACCTTCAGGCTTTCAACCACAGGGCAGCCTTGTGCTGTTTGTTTTTCCGGAGGGGACGCCTTTTCTTGACTCATGCACAGAACTCCCTCGCCCAGGCTGTGAAAACTCTGGGATGGTCAAGGCTGACTACCCATCTCAGAGGCAAGGAAGCAAAAGCGCAGAGAGGTGGACTGGCCGGCTTGCAGAAACACTGCCGACTGCTGCCCTGATCCTAGCCCAGGGCTCTTTCTAGCACAGACTCCTGGCCCCCACCTCCACCCACCCCATGCCCCTGATATCTGCGGTCCTGCCACAAAGTAACCCCCATACCCTTCCCTGGAGACCCCACTCAGGGAAACCTCAATCTCAGGCCTCTCAACTCACCTCTCATACCCTGTGTATGCCTGCCGGGTCAATCACTGCTGCCTCCCCACAGCTCCCAAATCCACCTACTTCCCGCTCGCTCTGGCTACACCCTGATTCATACCACAGTTGTAGCCCCAAACTGGCCCCTGATGTCTACACTGCCCTCTGCACAACAGCCACGATGCTTATTAAGAAGCACAGTTCAGGCTGGGCATGGTGGCTCACATTTGTAATCCCAGCACTCTGGGAGGTTAAGGTGGGCAGATCATGAGGTCAGGAGTTCAAGATCAGCCTGACCAACATGGAGAAACCCCATCTCTACTAAAAATAGAAAAATTAGCTGGGTGTGGTGGCGCATGCCTGTAATCCCAGCTACTCAGGAGGCTGAGGCAGGAGAATCAGTTGAACCTGGGAGGCAGAGGCTGCAGTGAGCCGAAATCATGCCACTGCACTCTAGCCTGGGCAACAGAGTGAGACTCATCTGAAAAGAAAGAAAAAGAAAGAAAGAAAGAGAGAGAGAGAGAAAGAAAGAAAGAAAGAAGGAAAGAAAGAAAGAAAGGAGAAAAAAAGAAAGAAAGAAAAAAATGCAGTCCAAACCAAATCCCCTTGCTGCTGAAAGCCCCCCGCAGTGGCTCACCATACCACACTTCTCCCGCTGCCTGGTCAGGCCGCCATGGAGCCCCCAGCCTTTCCTCACACTTCAGTAAATGTTAAAGGATTCAGATCATACAAAGAATGTTCTTGAACTGGCATGGAATTATATTAGAAATCTACTATGGAAAGAGATATAGAAAACCTTTCCAAACTATACAACACACTTCTAAGTAACCCATGGGTCAAAGAAGGAATCTCAAAGGAAACGAGAAAATATTTTGAACTGAGTGCAAATGAAAAAATGACACATCAAAATTTGTGAGGTGAAGCTAAAGTAGTGATTACGGGAAATCGATGTCATTAAATGCTTACATTATAAAAGAAGAAAGTTCCAAATCAAACACTGCAGCTCCCACCTGGAAAGTAGAAAAAGAAGAGTTAATTAAACCTGTAGTAAGCAGAAGAAATAATATACAGGAGAAATCAAAGAAGTCAACAAACAATAAAGAGAATTAGTGAAACCTAGAAGTGGCAATTTAAGATCAATACAATTTACAAACCTCTAGCCTTAGTGGTCAAGAAAAAAGGAGGCCGGGCATGGCAGCTCATTCCTGTCATCCCAGCACTTTGGGAGGCCAAGGTGGACAGATCACCTGAGGTCAGGAGTTCGAGATCATTCTGGCCCAATCTCCACTAAAAATACAAAAATTAGCCCAGTATAATGGTGCACACCTGTACTCCCAGCTATTTGGGAGGCTGAGGCAGCAGAATCACTTGAACCTGGGAGGCGGAGGTTGCAGTAAGCCTAGATCACCGCTACACTCCAGCCTAGGCGACAGAGCGAGACTCCATCTCAAAAAAAAAAAGAGAGAAATGACATCCACTGCAAATCTAGGGCATGAGAGAGGAGGATACATCACTAAGAATCCGGACATTAAAACAATAATAAGGGAATATTCTGAGCAATACTTTACCAAAAACTTTGAACACTTTAACCAATTTCTTGAGGAATACAAACTACCAAAGCTCACTCAAGAAGATGCAGATAACTCTATTAGCCCTGAATCTAATTTTTAAATTGAATTTATGTTTTAAAACTTCCCCACAGAGAAAATTCCACGCCCAAATGACTTCACTGGTGAATTCTGACAAATATATAGTCAGGAAATAATAGCGATTCTACGCAAAACCTTCCAGAAAACGGAAAATGAGGGAGTGCATCCCAGCTCATTCTGTTCCCCAGAAACCAGAAAAAGACATTACAAGAAAATAAAGCTATAAACCATCATCCCCTTTGGATGTAAACATAAAAGTTCTTAACAAACATTTAGCAAGTTGAATCCAACTATGCATGTGTATATATTTACATATGTGTGTGTAATTGTATATTTTCTATATAGACATATAGATTCATATATATAGAGGGGGGTGGCAATGCATCATGACCAAGTGGACTTTATCCCAGGAATGCAAATTTAGTTTTAAATTTAAAATCAAAGTTAACAAACCAAATTATGAACAAGTCAAAAAAGAAAAGCCACATGTCATCCAAATAGACAAAGAAAGATCATTTGACAAAATTCTACATCCATTCCTGATCATTAGCATTCAGCAAATGTGGCACAAGTACACCCCATGGAATACTATGCAGCCATAAAAAGGATGAGTTCATGACCTTTGCAGGGACATGGATGAAGCCGGAAACCACCATTCTCAGCAAACTGACACAAGAACAGAAAACCAAACACACGTGTTCTGACTCATAAGTGGGTGTTGAACAATGAGACCACAGGGAGGGGAACAACACACACCGGGGCCTGTGGGGGGGTGAGGGGCTAGGGGAGGCCTAGCAGGGGGTGAGGGGCTCAGGGAGGGATAGCAGGGGGTGAGGGGCCAGGGGAGGCCTAGCAGGGGGTGAGGGGCTCAGGGAGGGATAGCAGGGGGTGAGGGGCTCAGGGAGGGATAGCAGGGGGTGAGGGGCCAGGGGAGGCCTAGCAGGGGGTGAGGGGCTCAGGGAGGGATAGCAGGGGGTGAGGGGCCAGGGGAGGCCTAGCAGGGGGTGAGGGGCTCAGGGAGGGATAGCAGGGGGTGAGGGGCTAGGGGAGGGATAGCAGGGGGTGGGGGGCTAGGGGAGGGATAGCAGGGGGTGGGGGGCTAGGGGAGGGATAGCAGGGGGTGGGGGGCTAGGGGAGGGATAGCAGGGGGTGAGGGGCCAGGGGAGGCCTAGCAGGGGGTGAGGGGCTCAGGGAGGGATAGCAGGGGGTGAGGGGCCAGGGGAGGCCTAGCAGGGGGTGAGGGGCTCAGGGAGGGATAGCAGGGGGTGAGGGGCCAGGGGAGGCCTAGCAGGGGGTGAGGGGCTCAGGGAGGGATAGCAGGGGGTGAGGGGCTAGGGGAGGGATAGCAGGGGGTGGGGGGCTAGGGGAGGGATAGCAGGAGAAATACCAAATGTAGATGACGGGGTAATGGGTGCAGCAAACTGCCATGGCACATGTAACAAACCTGCACGTTCTGCACATGTACCCCATAATTTTAAAAAAGATAAAAAATAAATAATAAATCATTCTATGATAAAGAAAAAGAAATTCAGCAAACCAGGAATTCAAGGCAACTTTTTCAACGTGTTCAAGCCCTAGTTGAGCACCCTACAGGTGCGCTAGAGGCGCCATGATGCTCACGGTGAAAGCCTGCTTTCCCCTCTGATCAGGAACGAGGCCAGGATGCCCACTCTCACAGTCTGTATTCAACGTTGGTCCTGGTCAGTGAGGTAAGGTGAGCAAAATAAGTAAAAGCCCACATTAGAAAGGAAAACATGAAACTACCTTCATTTGCAGATGACATGATTATCTATGTAGAAAATCCTAAGGAACCAACAAAAATACTACTGGAACCAGTAAATGAGTTGAGCAAGGTCAGCACACAAACATCTATTGCATTTCTGTATACAGTGACTACCGGAAATCGAACATTTTATCACAACACCATTTAATAACAGCATGGAAAAATGTGACACCCAGGGAAAATTCCAGTAAGAAAGCCAAGACCCATGAACTGTAAACCACAGAACTGAGAGGAATTAAAGACCTAAACAGACCCACCTTGTTCATGGTTGGAAAGACTCGGTATTACCAAGATGTCAGTTCTCTGCATCATAGTCTTTAGATTCAATGAAATCCCAGCCAAAATGCCAGCATATTTACTTTATGTAAATTGACAAGCTCACCCTAACATTTATACGAAAATGCAAAGGGCTTAGATTACCCAACACAATTTTGGAAAAGGACAAAGTTGGAGAACACTTTTTCAATATAATACAATCAAAAATTCAGAAATAGAGCCAGGCATTTATGGTTTAAATGTAACAGATTTTCAATCAAGGTGCCAAATCAATTAAAATGAGGAAAGGATAATCTTTTCTACAAATGATTCTGGAACAATTGGATAGCCATATAT